GTAGGTAGTGACGATTCTCTCTGGCCAATCCATGATCAGCAGAGTTTACACGTCACGTTTTGGTAATGGTACGGTTCACTTGGAAACCTCAGCCGAGGTGGTACTAAAAAAAGTACCAGGTACTGTACACAGTGGAAAAACAGCGAGCCGTGCCGTACCATGCAGTGGAAAAGCGTCATTAGAATGCCCAGTGAGGCTGAAAACACAGCATCTTCTTGACATGATGTAAACACACTAACTAGTGGAAGTGTTTGTGGGCAGGTCAGAGTGTTCGTATTTCGCAGGCAGATGGGGATTATGCAAATGTGTTACCTTGTGACGTATATAGGTAATAGGCAGAAGATTCGAAAATATGACGACTCTTTAAGGTGGTTCAGAGTCAACTCTTTCTTTTGAGAGACAATATCTTTATTTATCATGCACTTTTTTGATGAACAACTTTGCAGACTGTTTACATTAAAGGATAGCTTCGATACAAACTGCAAAAAAATATATTTTTCGAAAACCCATATGACCTGCTCTTTAAAGTACCGGTACTAGTAAAATGAGGAATCATACTGTTTTTAAAAGCGTGGTATCGTGATACCTTTTAGTACCGGTATATCGTGCAACACTAATAGAGTGTGTGTATCTGACAGTTTAACTCATATAACATCTTTGGCAACATGCCATTCAATCACATGGTATGTTGTAAAGGTTTCTTACTTGGCTCTCTCTGTGGATTGTGGCTTTATGGTTGTCTGCTTGACTCTGGAGCTCTAAAGAAATTAAGAACAGCATTAGAAAAAGGAAATGTTATAAACAGTTTTGAGTGCATGTGTCTCAATGTACAATCCAGCTGCAATCCTGTAATTATCAATATTAAACACTTGACATGCTTAGAAACAACATATATTGCATAAAGCGCTAAATAAGATTTAATTGAATGAACAAATACGTTTTCACTTTTTTTTATCACTTTCGCTGTGTGCTTGCATGTATAAATTATGTTATGCCAGGCATAAGATAACAACATTTCTGATGTATATTTTCCCTCAATACCATATTGACAAACAAACACTCAAAGCAAGAAAGCAAGGTGGAGAAGAGGATCCATGAGTACATTAACATGGAGAAACTTGTGTACACGCAGGATCCCATTTTTACCCAGAAAATTGTTTACTTAAATAGACAAGAATCGGGTGCCAATAGGCTGTCACTCTAAATATGTGGGAGGGAACTTACCCTGCCACATAGTTAATTATGCACTGTGTGTTACAGCCCAGAATGAGCTGGCAGGAACAGGGGTAGGAATATGTGATGAGCTCATCACTTTAGAGCTCATGTCACCAGATCTGTGTGACCTCACACTGATCAATCTACCTGGAATTGCCCGAGACCCAGTAAAAGGACAACCAGAGGATATTGGAAAACAGGCAGGTAATATAATCTGATCTTGCACTTCATGTTTAATATCAAGCTAACATCAATCCAGTTTTAAAACTGTCTATGTCTTGTAGATAAAACGTCTGATCATGAAATATATTAAAGGGGTCATCGGATGCCCATTTTCCACAAGTTGATTTGATTCTTTAGGGTCTTAATGAAAAGTGTGTAACATACTTTGGTTTAAATTGATCAATGATAGTGTAAAAAACACCCTTTTTACCCTGCTCTGCTCTGTTTTCAGCAAGCCTTTCTAGTCCATGTTGCTTTAAATGCTAATGAGCTCTGCTGACCCCGCCCCTCTCTTCCGTGGAGTGACGCGCAGACCATAGATATGTGTAGATTCCCTATTCGACGCTCCAGATACGTTGATGCGACAGCCATCTCGCATTCACCATAATAATCAATGAATATTCAAAGATATACAAGCGTATAACTTGCTGTTGTAGACGCACAGCATCAATGCTCAAAGGTTCGCAGACCGTTCCAAAAATTTAGGGTCTTAATGAAAAGTCTATAACATACTTTGGTTAAAATTTCTCAATGGTAGTGTAAAAAACACCCTTTTTAACCTGTCAAAATCAGCTCTGTTTTCAGCACGTCGTTCTAGTCCATGTTGCTTTAAATGCTAATGAGCTCTGCTGACCCCGCCCCTCTCTTCCGTGGAGTGACGAGCAGCCTGTAAACTTCTGGGGCTGTCAAAAAAAAAATTGAATTTCGAATATTCGTCATTCGTTGCATTCAAATTTTAGGTGTGCGTCAGACAGCCTTATCAGTGGCGCAGGAGATGCGATGACGATGTAAGTGTCGTTGCATTATAATGTTTTTGTTAGCCTATCCAGTTGAAGCCACTAGATGCGGCGCTGCTGCGTTGTTCATTAAAAATATTGCGGAAAAAGAGAACATCAGTGCTGGAGAAGATCTTGTTTACATCAAAACTGAAACCAAGCCGTTTACATAGAACGCATATTTCGCGCATTTTCTAGAGGGACATCTATCACCGTTGCACTCGCATCTCGCTCAAAAGAGCCACATGTTTAGAAAGCCATGTAAAATTAATGTAGGTTTAACTTTTAAAAAAACATATATCGAGACTTTATGGCAGGGTTTTTCCCCATCCCGCTGCATCTCATGTTTTTAAATGAAAAATGTACTGTGTGTGATTGGCTTTCCGCCCTTTGTATTTTCAGATGTTGGGAGTAAATGACGACTGCAATGTTCAACAACAAAACACCTCAATCACTTAATCGGAGACATTCTTGTCTTCCCCTGCACTTCAGCCACGAAACTTGCTAACTAGCACATATTAGGAAAGGCTATTTGCAAAGATTCATTAAAAAACCCGTTATACGCACTTCTTCTGTAGATGAAGCTGGACCACTAATGACTCGCGCGAACAAAGGCATTTAGGCAGATCGGGATCAGCGCATTCCCTTCAAAAACGAAAGTAACGTTAATCCTCTGCGTCTTC